GAATGAATGCTTTTAGCTCTTAATCAAGTTAAAAGATTTATGAACATTAATTGCATATAAATATTTAATTTTGGAATTTTTAAAGAACGCAATTCCATTGAGAGTTAATCTAGTGTATAATTAGTTGAGTAATACCCCCAATGCTAATTAATTGGAAATTGTTGATGGGTGCTTGACTGCTTGACTGATGATGCGAAATCGTAATTATGAAAATGAGGAATGCAAATGTAATTAAATTAGTTCATTTTAATTACATTATGATAATTAGTTTATATATGAAATATATATGTATATAAAAAATAGTAGAGTTAAAATAAAACTCAAACTATTAATTTTATTTTAATAAAATAAAAAAATAAATTAAGCATGGATTTTATAATAATTTTTTCGCAGACAAAAATCTAAATAAAATAATTACAATAAATAAAATAATAATAAAGGAAAAATATAAAATATTTTATAATAATATATAATTAAAAATTTAAAAATAAATACAAATTAATTTGTTTTTATTACATTATTTAAAGTAAGTAAATTCTATTAAATTTAAAAAATTAGGCTTACAATTTCTCTCCAACATAATATAAAAATTAACTGAAATTATTAAAAAAAAAAAAAAAATATTATATGCTTGAATTTCATAGGGAAAAAGAAAAACATTGAAAAAGCTTTTAAAAATTCTCAATAATAATTTCAAAGAGAATTATGTTCAATTGTGAAAATCTATATTGAAATAGTATAAACAGATATTAAGAAAATATACAGAAATTATGTTTGAAATAATGTCTGCGTAAGAAATATTTACAGATTGTGGAACAAAAAACATAATTTCGAAAATCATGGCATAAATAATGTGCCAGAATTTAAATGGTTGGCGCAACAGACATGAATGGATTCATTATCAATACTAATGAGTCGGATACAGATACAGATACATATATGCATGCATATATATGTACATATATATTTATAGCATATCCTAATGGAACTTTATAGATCAGTTGCTGTAGCCATAGATGTTTATTTTATGCGAATGCCAATCATTATTATTCACGTTTTTTATTCACATCAATTGGCATTCGATTTCTGTTGTCGTTTCATATTTTTTCATGTTTTTCTTATCGTTAAATTTGACTTTTCACTGCTGTGATTTTCCACGGCGCTATGAAATTTAACTGTGCTGAATTTTTGGCATTTTCAGGGGTTTGTCGCTGTTGCTGTTGTTGCCGCGTTGCCACGGGTCGTTAGCCTCGGGGCGGCACAGAAAAAAAAATTCACTTGAAGAGCAGCAAAAGCCGCAAATAATTCAAAATGTCAGCCACAGCAGCAAAAGAAGAAAAATGTCAAGGAATTTTCAGTTGTAAGGAGAAACTGAACTCGACTCGACTCGACTGGAATTATGTAATGCTTGAATATAAATGAATTGGTTTTTGTGGCTCGGTTTTGTTTATAATTTGTTTATCTAAATGGAATTGTTTATCTAAGCAGCCGCATGTAAACATTAGCTCAAATTGTATTTCTTTCGTTATTTTTTTTTTATGTGTGTTCCCAATGAAAATCGATTAATGTGCGAATGGGCAGCACATTCGTTTTGATTTATGGCTTTAGGAAGCACTGGCCAACACACACACACACACACACACACACACAGACAAAGATTTGCGCATAAAGGGCAATAATGCACAATAGACAAAACATCCATCGATTGTTAAGTAAACAATTCGCTGTTTGTTTTAGCTGCATAAAAGTTGTTGTTCAATTTTCGCTTTCATTTTGTTAGCAATTTTATTGATGTTGTTCTGTTGCTCCATCCAGTGCTGCTTGGTTGATCTTGTGGTCGATTTATGTAGTGCACGTTCGCTGAATGTGCTGCCTTTGTATACATATTGATTTGGCCATAAATTTACTTAGCAGCTCAACTTTCGTCTTGCTTTCTTTTTATTGATTTTTTTTTTGTTGTTGTTGCGAAATTTGCCTAACCTAATGAGCCGAAGCACTGAGCACAGAAAAAACCGCACAAATGGTAAAGTGCATGGAGCGAAATTGCTGCAAATGTCAGTCGGGCAAAAATTGTAAAAGGACGCCAGAGATGAGGCAACACTTGCCATGCCAGAGCAACGGCAACGGCAACGGCAACGGCAACATCAACAAAGTGCTCTAATAGAGAGGAGGTTGCAACATCAGCAACATCAGCAACAGCAGCATCATCTGCTCGTCTTGGCTGCTGAACAAGGGCAAGTGCGAGTGCTTGTTGTTTGTGGGCGTGGCATTGTGTTGACGCATGTTGACGTTGCCTTTGAATGGCATCGTTGTTGCTAGTAATTTGCAATGCTAAAACAACATCAAGTGGCTGCCAACAAGGCAGCTAGGGTAAAAATCTGGTTGTGGAGCCAACGGACGACCTTCGACTCACTTAAAATATTCCACAGCACAATTTCATATTTACTTTCGGTTATCCCATTTAATACTTATCAACCGGATGGGCAACTGGCGCATCTTTTGCGAGCAATCGCCGCTGCTTCATTAATCAACTAATCTGAAGAGTTTTCCGAAACGAAATGAAACTCAAGCTGCGTGAAATGTTGCTAAGTGTTGTTGCTGGCTCTGCTGGCTCTGTTGCTGGCGCCAAGGGGTTGGCCATGTCGTGCTGCTGATATCGTTAACACATTACTCACAATTTGTAATGTGCTCAAACTCTGCAAGGACGCACATCAAAGGCATGTGCGTAATGCAATTATCGATATTGTCGGAGCGTACTTGTATTGGTGAAACTTTTCTCTAACCCAGACAAAGGCAAAGGCAGCTCCATAGAATTTGCAAGTCATAATTGAAATTTGCAGCCTCATTGCCCCAGCGTCAGTGCAAAAGTTTAGACAAACAATTTTTAGAATGGAAAAGAACAAGCAGACATCGTGTCAGATTACGAGCTATCAAATATATTACAGTGCGCTGTTATCTGCGCGCAAATGTTAAACGACTGTTAAACACATAATATCACCCTGTTAAGCTTCAGTTAAGTATGTGTATAAAGCGCATGTTGAGTAGCTGTCAAGTGGCAGCTAAATACCATTCGCAAATAGAACTTTTTAAGTCTGTTGACTGTCAGCTAAGCTTTGTATATATACTAATTTGTAATATAAGGAATGAATGAATGAATTACGTCTCGTCTTACCATCTATCCTGCTTTTCATCTGGCCTTTTTTCAGAATATAGTGAGAAACATAAATGAATTGATATATTGAATATGGATGCATAGCTTCACCGCTTGGGAGAAAGGCGAATTGAATCTAGAATTTCGGCTTCAAGTCTCACTTTAGCTTAACCTTTCTGTAAATCAATCTACATCTATCTACAGTTGCCTTAAATCAAGACCCTTTCCACTAAATCTATAATCGTAGCTCCTCAGCTGCCTGCTAATTGAAACTTTTCACTGCCAGCGATGACTGTGGAGCTATGAGCTTGCAACATTTTAAAAATGACTTGCAAATCGTATAACGGCATACAAACCTTGGCTAACGTTTGCTCTTGACAGGTGAAAGCAAAGTGCCCCTAATATGCCCCAAATAAAATAACAAAGGTGTCTGATGTATGCAGTAGACTTTAATCGCACCAAATATTGAAATTAATCAACGCCTCGACTAAACGAAGGGTCCAGGTCTGGGTGGATTAGGGTTGAATGGCGATGGCCGAGTATCAAAGGGAAAGCGATTCTCACGATGACGCGCCTCGCTCAGGCCCAGACCCAACAGCAGCAGCAGCGGCAGCAGCAACAGTTCACGCAGCTTCAATTGCATCTCGTCTCGATTGTTGATTGATGCCGCCAAGCTGAGGAGACGGCGCTTTTATAGCAATTGATTCGGTCGGGTATTCACATGACGATAAGCGCGGGGTTAAAAGTGCCGATAAGGCGGGGATTTCTTTGACGAATAGAAAAATCACCGAGACTTACTATGAAAGTGTGTGCGTCAAAGGTCGCAGTTCTGTTGCTCGATTATCAGCTGAACTGTTAACTGACAGCTGTTTAACATTAGCGGGAACTGTTATGAGTGATGAACTCTCTCTATACAGACTTTATATGTATATGATCAAGAGTTAAACAAACTCAAATCAAGTTAGAAGAGGCTGATTCTTTGACTACATATTCATATATACTTTTCATAGTTATGTCTACTATAGTTATGTATACTAAATTCCTCCAAATTTGAATTTTATAATACACAATATGTTAAGCAAATACGACCTTTTGTTGGCATTCTAAGCAAGTCAAATGTAATTATAACACTCGCACGTCTAAGCCCAAGTCAATGAACTTTTTCGGCTCGGCACACACAGGCCTAGCAGGACTTTAGCAGGTTTTCAATTAATTATGCATTATGTGCTCAAACAAATATCAAATTTTACTCATTTTGTATGCAATTCAATGTGTTTGACGGGAGTGGGAGTGGAGGTGACTAGGAGAGGGCGCTGGTGGGTAAGACTTAAGCGCACGCTATGCGTACGCTGTTCGCCAACCGCAATTGGGTCAATTTGTTAGCTTTGGCAGCTTTTGGTATTATGCTGGGAATTTGCATTTGCCTGGCATGCGGCTCGTCTTGATATATCCCTGCTGACAGGTCTCATAAATAATAATTAGAAATTGGGCTAGCGAAGCCTTCGCATGGAAATGCATTCACCAGGTGTGTGTGTGTGTGTGTGTGTGAGTGTTGACACACACGCTGGCTGGTGTTGTGCGTGTGATGGCATTTATAATTTTAATGCAATTTAATTTGCGGCGTTTTTGTGACGCGCCAGCGGGGCGTATGAGTAATCAGCTGGCAGCAGCTACGGCAACAGCATAAGCAGCATCAGCTTGAGCAGCACCAGCAGCATCAAATGCCTCCCACTGCTCAACTGTTGCCAGTTTTATTTGCGTATATTAAAATTGAGTACGCGCAAACATTTCAATGAGTTTCACACACAATATTTTTCTTTCCTTTTTGGCTTTGGCTTTCTATTTTCAGACGGCGGCAGATCCAAGAAAAGCGCTAAGAAAAACACTTGCGAAAATTAGCAGCAGCAGCAGCAGCAGTCGCAGTCGCAGTCGCAGCCGCTGCTGCTGCGGTGTCGGCGTCGCCGTCGCCGTCAACGTCAGCGTTGGCATCGCCATCGGCCGTGTCAAGCTATAAATAGTGTGCACTGTGCGCGTGACAGCTGGTGTGACAGAAACGGTGACGTCATTTGCCTCCTGGACGGACGCTGTGCTCGGCGGCGACGTCATCAAATCAAATAGCTTAGCAGCTAATTTGCAGCAACAACAACAACAACAGCAGCAACAACAACAACAACACGCTGCTGGCCAAAGCCAATAAACACATCATAGACAAGACATTATCAGATGCTCTCAGCGTGCGGGCCACAAAATATGCGAAACCCAAACGAATTGATAAGATCAGCTAAATATATATAGACTATTTATATATGTATATACATGTACACATATGTATAATAACAATATGCGCAGAGTAAACACACGAAGAGCCATGAGAATCGCACGAAAGCACAGCAAGAAGAAAGCGAACGAAAAGCGGAACAAAAACAAAATTTGTCAAAATAGCAAGTGAAATGCTTACAAGCTGCTGAGCCTCAGTCGAAATTCATCGTCGATCGGCGTCGTTGAATGCCTCGCGCTGCTGCGAGCGTCTTTTCTAGCCTCTCCGTGCGCCTGTGTGTGCATGTGTGTGTGTGTGTGTGTGTTTATGTGCGCGTGTGTGTGTGTGTGTTTGTCGATGTAGTGCTATGCGGTTGAATACGATATATACCTATACATAAAAATAAAAATATTTAAAATATATAAATATATTACTATATAATATATACATTTAATGCGATATCTGGCGCTATACGCGCGTAAAAAGTGGCAAACGGATGCCCCTACACGCTGGCTAAATCGACTCAAACGAGCTACGAGAAACGCGACACATCAACAACTAAGTAACAAGTAATAAATAAACTAAACTAAACGAAACAAAACAAGAGCAAAAAAAAGAAAAACTTAAACGAACGCAAATTGATTTTTGTTGCAAACAAATACACAAAAATATTAGTCAATAAATACGTGTCATAAATCATCACGAATAATTTGTGCTAAATCCGTTTCAAAACTTAAAATGTCAACCATAAATTCAAGCAAAGGATTTCATTTAACACAATTGCAGCTGCTCTAAACGGTAAGTACTTTATACACACACACATACATACATAGCTATTTGTATCTATATTTGAGTCGAGAAAGAAATGAAATCTGTGGGATTTATGACATTTGAAATGCTGCTCGACTTGGGCATTTTTTTTTGTGATATGTGTAGGAAATGTTTCTGAATGGTTTATTCACAAGTTGAAGCTGGTAGAGCTGGTAAATTAGGATTTTTTTACTGCAACGGCAGCAAATTCTTAACGGCAAAGTTTTGTCGACTTGATATCCTTAATCTGTGCTAACTGCTTTGTTCACATATCCAGCCTGTCTGTCTGTCGCTCTGTCTCTCTGTCATGTTTACATTTTTTTATATAAATATGTATGTACATTATATATATAATTTTTACATTTACATTACATTTTTTTATATAAATATGTATGTACATTATAAATTTCATTTATTAACATTTTATTAGTATTTTTTTATTAATTTATTTATTTATTAGAAAAAGTCAGAGTCAGTCTGAATAAGAATAGAATATCTATGTTTTTATTATATCTTTTTATTTGATTTTTTTTTATTTTATTATTTTCATTTATTTATTTATTTTTTTGTGTATATATATATATATATATATATATATATATATA